CCACCTCTCCTACCCCCCCCCCCAATTTTGTTGACATAATTAATGGACGCCCCCTTAGGAGCGTGAAAGGGAGAAGGGTAAGCGTATAATATACAGCAGATAAATACTTCTCAAGACTTAATGATTTTAGAAACGTAAATATCATGACATAGATACCTCTTTTTAAAGTTAGGAATTGTGATGAGTTTTTGCAAAAGCAGATAGAAATTATCGCAAAGGACCTACCATTATTATCCCGATAATATCGGGTCATACTATGTTCAATATTCTCAGAAATTCTCTCTCTTGGGGGGGGGGGGCATTTAAGCGAAGCAGATGAATCGTAACAAATTATTTTAAGACTGCTGCATAAAATAATTTATGATTTGTCAGATCTCTTCTATTGAGTGTTCTTCATGAATGGGCTTACAATAGTCCGAGCCGCTCCGCGCATGCGTGGAATTTACCTCTTATGAATGCTGCACGTCATACATTGTTGTTTGTGCACGGTTCAGTACGGGCTAGTAAACAACACATTCATTTCCCGTCTCAGGATATATTTTGATATAACTTGATTTCCAAAATGAGGAGAAAATGTATATAAACAGTGTTCCTTGATATGTTTCCCGTTTTAACCCACATATTCTTATTTTAAATGGCTGGAGTGGGCAGCGACGAAGAAGGCGAGAGCATGACTGTCGATTTCTGTGAAAAACAAGCCTCCAATTCCGCTCAAAATTTTGTGCATAATTATCTCGTTTATGATCGTAATAATCCAGCTACTGGCCGGACTAGAGATCCTTATGATTACGCTAAGAAATTTACTGAATTTTTTCTCCGTTATTTTGATTACGAACTTCGTCGATCGTCAAACAGCTCAAATAACCACACGGAAGTGAATTTAGTGGTTGACGCACACGGAGCAAGTGCAGCTGAGTCGACATCTCGGACAGGTGTTGTCCCTCAAAATGGTGGTGACCATATACAACATACCCACACTGACGATTATGAGAGGGACAGTAGTCCCGATAGAGGCGTGAGTCCGTCACGGAAACCCAATAAAGGGATTTTGAGACGCTTTTCTTTTAAAAGTATTCGTAAATCAAAACTGTTTAAACAGGGTACAGAAGATGGTGGTGAGCCCCCATCACCCAACCCAAAATCAAAAAATAAAATTAAGAAAGATGGAAAACACAGAGTTTCTAGTACTCAAGATATTCAGAAAGAAGGCATTGTGAACGTTTTATCTGGGGAAGATGCGAAAGGAAAGTCACGATGGGAGAAAACAAGACTAGTTTTGCTGAAGAATCAAAGTGGATATCAAATGGAGTTTTTCTCTCCACCAAAGGTAATTTATGATTCTAATTACTAATTATCAATCAATTATATTTGAAATTTCTGCACTGCCCACTGCCGAAGATTGTTTCAATTATGTACTTATTTAATATGGAATTATAATTGGCAGTTCCTGAATAGAGTAATAACCCTAGACTAGTAGCCTGCTGTAATTTGTGGTTTAACGGACACTGCACACTGTGAGTTGTGCAAAACACCCACAACTGACCATTAAAAATTTAAAGGTGACAATCAATTTACAATAGGCCTAATGATAATGAATGACACTTTAAAAGAATAAAATATTGGGAACTGTAAGTAACTGGTATCTGTTATTTTATCATTTTTCATAACTGCTTTTATTAATTGCATTATTACACATTAGCCATAGAAAAAAGGGAAAAAGGAAGCAATGCATATAGTTTTAGTGTCAAGAGAGATTTAGACTCAAGCGAAAGATGAACTTTAATTTAGAATTACAACATATACTCTCTAACAAGCCTGTTTGTCAAACCCTTAAGTTTTTGAACTGGAAAATCCTGAAGAAAGGTGTATTCTGCTTATAAGCAGACCCCATAAAATGATACGCTATTAATAAAAATAAATTATTTTTTGAAAAGTCCCAACTTTTAAAAACAATTTTGTGTAAATAAAAGATTTAAAATCTAATAAACATACAATCACCAACCTACACTTTGCGGATGACATAAACTGGCTGGGAACGAAGAAGAGCTAGCCAACCTAGTAAAGCGTCTCGACAAGACTTCATTGTCCTTTGGCATGGAAATCAGTGCAGAAAAGACAAAATTGATGATAAATAACACCACCGGCATCGCCACTGAAATTAAGGTGGGAGAGGAAAGATTAGAAACAGTAGACAGCTTCAAATACCTAGGAGCAATAGTCTGGGAAGAATGTTCCAAGCCCGAATTGATGTCCATGATTGCCCAAACCACAACAGCACTAAAGAAGCTCAAGAAGATATGGAACAAAAATTTAGCCCCAGCACCAAAATCAGGCTGATGCGCTCATTAGTTCTCTCCATTTTCTTTTATGCCTGCGAGTCTTGGACATTAACAGCAGAACTTGAAAGTAAAATAAAGGCGATGGAGATGTTTCAGAAGCATTCTTGACATCTGCTATAGAGACCATATCTCCAATGATCAAGTGAAAGAAAGGATTCGTCAGGCAATTGGGCAGTACGATGACCTCCTGGTGACTGTAAAAAAGCGCAAACTGGAATGATATGGCCACGTGACAAGGAAACAAGGACTCTCCAAAGCAATCATGCAGGGCACAACGAGAGGAGGAAGAAGAAGAGGAAGACAGGGAAATAGATGGGAAGATAACATCAAATAGTGGACGGGACTAAAACTAGGCGATGCTGTGCGAAGTGCAAAAGACAAAGACAAATGGAGGAGGATAGTTTACATGTCATCTGTGGCCCCCCAAAGGTCCAAGGACTAAGGGACATGATGATGATGAAACGTACAATATACTGAATCCATCCATCCCTGTGGCACTACAGCCCATGTAGGGCTTTGACCTGCCTCACTACTTCCTTCCACTCAGACCTAAGACCTAACTAATGCTTTTCTTTTCCATGCTTGAATTCCCAGCTGTTGTAGATCTTTTTTTTCACATCATCCATCCATCTAAGCCTAGTGTCATGGCCACTTTGATCTATAAAGGTGGGGTGGGGGAATGGAAATTAAGGCTGAAAATTTCTTAAATCAGAGATACATTTAACTTTGCATAATTCTACATATAGCCGGAGAATAACAGAAGAAATTCTAGTGGAAGTTTAGGTTACCTTGACCTAGCTGTGTCCAAATAAATCTTTCAAGTTTAGAGGTTACTAAACAGTAATGTTGTTTTAAAACAGTCCAAAGGAGAGGACATTATACAGAAATGGTGAATATTATAAAAAAAAAAATATTAAAAAAAAATTAAATAAAAAAAAAGAATATAAGGGAAAAGTTTGGCTGCTCTCTATATATTTAAGATGTGCCTCAATGCCAAAAATGAAAATAATAACTAACTGAATGAAGAAATAAGTTCTTTTGCGGTGCATTCCGAGGGCCAGAATATTTAACACGGAGGGCAGCATGCGGGCCTCAGGTTGGCCACCCCTGATCTAGAGAAAAGAAGGTTAAACAAAACTTTTTTCAGGCCAATTTTACTTACAAAGTAAGTTGGGTACCAATAATAAGTTTGATAGTGTGGTGTAAAGATATTTTTTTAAAAATGGTTAAAATGCTTACAATATGCTTTTGAGTCAGTGATTTCCCATTCTTGCATTTCTTATGAGGACTCCTTATCAGCTGGTATTTTTTAGCACATAATTACAATTGATCAAACATTTACAGATTATTGAGGAGTTAAGGGATTTTTGTTCCTTGCCTCTCGCTACATAAAGATAAAAATGTTTAATAATATTGTTACGCACTGGCTTCTAATATGAGAAATTAATCTCCTATTTTAATTGTAATTGGCTCGTTGTAAGCAGTGTCTAACAAAGGACGATACCATAGAGTCAAAAATATTAAAGATACGACACCCAAAACAGTTTCTAGTTACTATTAATAAGATTTAATAAGTATTAATTTAATTACAAAAGAAAAGAAATATAATTACAAATCATCAACTTGTAAGTATGGTAGATCTTGTACCGGTACACAGTTAATAAAGTTAGAATAATGTGCCAATGAATACTAATGATGAATGCGAAATAAACACATATGAGTATGAGCACACAAATACACAAAGAATAATACACGTCTCGTAAAGTTAATAATTTCTATCTGAATCTCTGTCTCTCCGTCCGTGCCTGTCAATCCCTTATATAGGTCGCGTAAGCCCTGCCTTCCAGAAAGACTTATGACGTGTTGTTTACATTTCTCGGGTTATCGAGCACATTCCAGAATCTACCAGGAGACATGCTACCCAATGTGCAATTGGAAGCCGATAGTAAACAAGATACATCAAAGGAATAGGCCAGGCCCACAACAGACGTTACTGTCTGCTAGGATTCTAATTTAGGTCAAGTAAAATTCAAGCACGGGCAATGTATGCTACATAACAATATATATGTATGTATGGCATCTTTCCGTCTGCGGAAGACGATAGATTATCTTTATTGCTTGCAGCTCTTGGTGTGGCTGGTGAGACCAATCCTCGAATGGCAGTCTCTGTTACATTTCCCACACACGAATGCGGTGGAGCAGTATTAAAACGGCCTTCCTCCTCGCTCTTTTTGCAGCTGTTTCCGCCCTGTTTTGCTCCTCGGCATGTAGTGATCCTGCCTTCACGATGCCCTGCCATGAGGATCGATCCTCTGCCAGCTCCTTCCAGTTTTGAGATGTCGATATTGACCGACTTCATGTCTCTTTTGCATAGCGTATATTTCCAAGTAGTGCTCTATCCACCGCTTTAGTTGTTTATCTCGATCAGTAATAATTTCCCCTGATTTGGACATTAAGGGCGCAGTCTTGGAGATCAGAGGGCCTGTTGTTTGCTTTATATTCTCGCACATTGACTTTGCATCACCTCTATCAGCAGCTGATTCTGTGCTGGAGCCAGTATGTGTTAGCCTAGTGGCGAGCTGTCTGCTGGGCATTTGTCTTGGCGCTTTTAAAGTTATTGTAGAGTTGCTGGGCAAGGTCTGTCTTTATAAGCTAAGAGGGCCTTTCTTTTGCATCGGTGACATGTTTCATTTCCTGCGAATGGGCCTTGAACCAATCTGCCCTTTTGCGCTCTCTCTTTCCAAATGCCCTGATAGCCGAGTTATAGATAGTGTCCCTCAAATGTGGCCATTTGGACTCGATAGTGTCCATTGGTGGCGTTTGTACAAGAGCTTCTTGTAGACTATGGGTGTATACTTCTGTTCTTTCTGGGTTTTTGGTGGAGCAGATGTTTATGCGTGGTTTACTCTTGTTTTTAGTGTGATACAGTTTCTTTGGCTGTAGCCTTATCTTGCTAGCCACTAAGGAATGATCAGTGTCGCAGTCTGCGCTGTGGTAGCTGGGTGTGAGGAGGGCACTGGCCAGTTGTGTGCGTCTTGTGATTATGAGATCTAACTGGTGCCAGTGTTTAGAGCAGGGATGCCTCCATGACACTTAGGTGGATAGCCTTACAGTTGAAGTAGATGTTAGTTACACATAGTCCATGTAGGCAGCACAGTTCCAATAGTCTCTGCCCATTTTCATTTAGCCTGACTCTTCCAAAGTGACCAAGGCATGTTGGCCAGGCCATGTGATCGCTTCCTACTCTTGCATTGAAGTCACCCAAAAGGTAAATTGCTTCGTTGTTGGGTATGCTGGCTATTGTTTGATTAAGATCTTCGTAGAACTTTGAAATCGATGATATAAATACATATATATTATTTATTTGCATGTGTGGAGTAATTTTTCCTTAGAAAAACTTGTTTATTTTAGTTATCACTATTATCAGGGAGAATGAAAAATTCCAGTAGAACCAATGAAGTGGTAACATAGCTGAATGATATATGTAGTAACATTGCCCAATGATACATATATAGTATGATGGTCCAATGATACAAGTAAAGTAACATTTTAAACATGGTCCGATGATATAAATATAGTAATATGGCCTAATGATACAAGTATAGTAACATAGTGCAATATTTTAAGTACAGTTGAACCCTGCTATAATCAGAATTTGAACACTGAACGTTCATGGCCTTGCTCCTGAATTTTGTTATATTCATTTGCTCATGGAGTTTTCATTTTGAAATAATAATAATAATAATAAAAAAAGTTTTTTTTAAAAACATGCTTCATCCTCAAAAGCTCGAAGCGGGGTACAACGTCAACATATTAAAAAGAGAAATAAAAACAATCTAAAATTTACCACATTTAAAACAGACGCAACAATATAAAGCTACATACGAGCATACCAAGTCAAAGTCTTTCATCCCGTTTCAACCATAAGCAACACAAGCCAATATACATTAACCGAAAAAGATGGTAAATGGCATCACCCCAGAAGGTGTTTGCGAAATAGATGAGTTTTTAATCGGTTTTAAATGACTCCAGTGTCTGGCTGTTTCTGAGAGCGACTGGAAGGGCGTTCCAAATTGTTGGGCCGGCAAATGCAAAAGTGCGCTTTCCGTAAGTCTCAAGGCGAACACACGGTATTGATATTTTGCCACTATCGGAGTGGGTACATAAGGCGTCATGAGTGCTTTGAGATAAGATGGCGCCAGGTCATGTAAGGAGCTGTAGCACAGAGTTGCAATTTTGTACTCTATGCGAGCGCGGACCGGCAGCCAGTGCAGCTACCTCAGAAGTGTTTTAGCATGGTCGAATTTGCGCTTGCGAAGAACAATGCGAGCCGCATTATTCTGTGCTCTTTGAATTTTATCCAGGAGCATAGCTGGGAGACCCACCATGAGAGCAATGCAGTAGTCCATGCGTGATAACACAAATGCAGACATCAGCCTCTTTGATGCATCTAATGTTAAGAAAGGTCTGATATGATTAATCCTGCGCAGCTCTAGGAAAATTGCCTTGCAAAGCATGTTAATATGATTTTCCATAATAAGTGTTCTGTCTAAATAGACACCCAGGTCTCACACTGTATGAGCAAACTCAATCTGCATACCTGAGAGAGTAATTGATGTTGTCTGTTTTACAGATTTTTGTTTCTGAGCAGTGGCAATGGGGATCAGCTCAGTCTGTTCATCATTCAATTTGAGCTTGTTTATGGTCGTCCACTGCTTAACTGACTCCACTGTCTTCTGTGTCGTACTAAGAAGTTGAGGGAACTGAGAGGGGATCACGGATTGATGAAGTTGTGTAACGTCCGCGAACATGTGATACAGCATGTCAAATAACATGAAAAGAGGAGAAAAATGAATATTCGCATACTCATACTAAACAATGATACATCCAATAAAACCAGTCCAAACTGAAAAACCAATAGCTCACTAACCATAAGAGTTGTTTTATAGAGAATCACTCATATTCCTGTCTGTTTAAAAATCCAACATTTATTCTTTTAACTTATTCTAACAATTGGAAGCCTGCTTAATTTCAGTATTACCTACTGGTTTGGGAATTCAACGTCTGATATTAAAATTAAACAGTGCATAAACCGACTAATCAAGAAAGCTAGGAACATAACACAAACTAAACATCCTTCACTGGAAGAACTATACAAACTAAACATCCTTCACTGGAAGAACTATTTGAAGAAAGATGTTTTTGTAAAACTAAACACATTTTGGATGATACATCCCACCCTCTTCTTTACAAATACTTAGGATCGGGCTGTTCGGGACAAATTCTTTCCATCAGGGTGAGGACTGACAGATATAAAAATTCTTTTGTTCCCCAATCTGTCTGAATTTACCGGCGTGCTTCCTCTGAAGTCATACATCTTAATGAGAACTAAAAAGTCCCTGATTTTGCAAAGAGAACTCACTAAATGGCTGTTTGAAATAATTTATTATAAATGTCTTGTGTTCAAATTGTTTTATTTTTGTGCTGAAAATGTATAATGCAATCAAAAAACATTTCCATTTATTTGGATCAATAAAAGAATCTTTTCTTATCGGAATCCCACCAGTATCGGGATCCCATCGGGAAACGGGATCAAACCTGTATTAGGATCCCACTGGTATCGGGATCCCACCGTAAATTTGTAAAACCAGTGGCGTAGCTGGGGGGGGGGAGGGGAGTGAGGACCGTACCTTGTGACACCAAATTGAAAAATTGCATATTTACAGCGCACACACTGCTCTGTGTAACTGAATTTCATAAAAGTATAACCAATCACACGTAAATTTTCCACACATGTCGTAAAACAGGCCGTGTTCTAACCCCAAACTTTTTAGCATGGTATTCTCTTGTTAGTATAATAAGGTGGGGGAAAATACATAATGTAACCTTATGTTGTTGTTTTTTTATTTTTGGAACTAGTTGTGCCCCAAATTAGAAAACTGTTGTACACAATTTGAGTGCCTTTTTGACTCAATATTTCCAGTATTCTGCATGCGATACAAGTAATTAAATATTGGAACAAGATATGTTTAGGCTTGAAAAAGAAGACAGGAAAATTGCAACAACATTTCGGCCTTGTTCAACAGACAAGACTAACAAGAAACAACAAATAAATAGAAATTTAAAACTTAAGAGTTTGAAGATTCTGGTAAAATTTGGTTCTCAAAGTCTCTTTATTATAGAAACAGATACGCTATTTTGGCTAACGCTTTAGTTTTAAATTTCAACTATTTCACATGCGCTATACTTGAGAAAGATTATCCTTGTAAAATTGTGCTTTATCGCGGGATTCCCTCCGTTGCTCACCTCTATGGTCGTCAATGCTTTCAGCTTGTTTTAACTCATTGCTATCGTCCCATGTAATGGATGTAATGTGAACCCCCAGTCTTCTGTGTATGTTGTATAGTCGTCTTCTAGCAAACACATTTATTAGAGAATACTTCACTAAAAAAAATAATTTGCTAGCAAACACAGATTGATTAGAGAGAACTTTACTATTTTAAAGATACTGCTGTGACAAGTTCAAGGTCGCAGTGTTTTTCTCAAGATTAGGATAACACGTTGTAGGTTTAGCTTACATAACATCTAAGTGAAGTGGAATTTCAGCATACAACTATGCTTCTTGATTCTCTGGATTCTAGGGGATGGGGGGGGGGGAACCTTGTTGGTTGACGTGATCAAATGTTGGACATCGGCGATATAGGTGGGCAGACGCAGACCTTGTTGGTCGACGTGATCAAATGATGAGCATAGGCGATATAGGTGGACAGACCTTGTTAGTCGACGTGACCTTAAAGTACTAGGGCATCAAGAATGTAGGTGTCATTGTAATAGCCTCGTAATTTTTGTTTTTTCGTATTTTGCTTTCCAACACCGGAATTTGATAGACTTCATATTGTTTGACATTATCAACTAGTTGAGTTCTATACTACACACCGTCATGCTATACTGTATACTTAATTAGGAACGATGCGCTGCGTTTCCATTTTTGAACCAGCATATGTTTAAAAAGTTCATGTTTAGTTGCAAAACAAATTTGGTGATTATTGGTGTTGGAAACAATTGATCCTATGCCATTGTAAGGAAATTACTACATTAATATTTATATTCCAACTCTATCACCATCAAAGCCGATGTTGCCGAAAACTTTCCCCAATCATCCCAATGTCAGAGTTCGAGGTCATTCCATGACGACACAGGCAGAGAGACTTGCTATAATTAACGGCGAATAAGTCCACCTCCATCCACAATGTCAGAGACTGTGGCATAGGAAGGGGGGTGTGGAGTAGCGGTCCGCCCCGGGCAGCATTTTTTTTCTTTTCAATGAAAATTGTTGAGGGGGGAGGGGGTGCATTATCAGCCACTGCATAATTTTTCGTAGATGGAGAGGCAGAAAAAAGCTTGGCCCGCAGCCGGGGGAACAACACTGGCTACCCCACTGAACGGAAACAAACTTCGGTAATGTGCTAAACAACAAAACCATTCAGCTCATGACATCACAGGGCGACCATGTGAAATCTGAAATGGCTTCCATATCACTTGATTGTTTTCAGGATAGATAGTAAATAAATAGCGTTGTGATTTCCCAACCATTCATGTCAAGTAATTCAGAGGGTCAAAAACAAGTAACGGGTTGGGGGAGAGTTTCAAGGGAAAACAGACCATGTTGCACGGGACTCAATAATAATTGGTGTGGAACAGAATTGATATGGGGAGCTGCAAACAGAATTCTGAGTTATTATTATTGATGGGTTGTTCAGTTGCGGAGGCTTACTAGAGTAAAGGGGTTGTCACTGGTGAAGGCTCAGTGTTTTGGGGGCAAGTGGCACATCTAGGGGGGCTGAAGGGAACAGCCGCCCCAGGCGGTACTAAGGTTTCGGGGAAAAATTGTTTTTTTCAAGAGACCTATTAAAAATAAACTTAAAAGGGCAATACATTCTGTTTTTGCTTTCAATAGGCAGTTTCATTCCAATGATATACATTCTGTTTTTGCTTTCAATAGGCAGTTTCATTCCAATGATGTTAATTTAGTGTACAAAACGTCCTGTTAAAACGGGATTGTCCCGTTGCATTATTCCAGTCTATTCACAAGTACAGTAGGTAATGGGACCGGAATTGTTCACAGATGATTGTAAGCACATTGTGTAGGATGTTACGCACTGACTTGTATTGGGAGAAATTAATCTCCTATTTTAATTTTAATTTGGCTCGATGTAAACAGTGCCTAACAAAGGACGATACCATAGAATCAACAATTATTAAAGATACGACCCAAAACAGTTTCTAGTTACAATTAATTAAGATTTATTATGTCTAAAGATAATTACAAAATAAAATAAAATAAAATTACAATCTTCAACTTACAGTATGGCAGATGTCGTACCGGTACACACTTAATACAATTAGAAATAATGATGCCAATAAATAATGCGGAATAAACACATATAAGTAGGAGCACACAAATACACAAAGAATAAAACACGCCTCGTAAGGTTAAGAAAATCTATGTGAAAAATCTCCCTCCCCTCGTGCCTGTCAATCTCTTATATATATGTAGAGTAAGATGCTTCGAGAAGGGCTTATGACGTGTTGTTTACATCTCTCGGGTTAAGGAGTATATTCCAGAAATTACCCGAAAACAATCTACCCAATGCGTAATTGGAAGCCGACTGTAAACAAGCCACTTCAAAGACCTAAGCCACACCCCTTTGTGAACACAGCGTCTCATGCGGGGTCAATCAGAGGGCACGCACGAGAAAAACAAGCTCTCTATAACATAGGATAATAATAATAGTTATAAAAAAAACAAGGCAGTTCGGATCCATGGGGTTTGTAAAATCGATGCTCTACTGTACTGATAATTGGGGGTGGAAGCACAATTTTTGGAGTTCGCGGGGGTTGGGATTTTCCAAGGGTCAAAGTGGTGCCATTTTCAGAGAAAAGATGTACAGTAACTTATACATTTATATTAGACGACTTTATTTTCTCACTCTACATAAGAATAAGATTTGACTTGACTTTATTTTCAGTCTATAAAGCCAAGGACAGGCCTTTTCTGCTTCCTAATCACAGAAGTGAGAGAAACAACAGCTTTAGAGATGCCAGACAGAGAAAATACTTTTGTTATAAAGGTACCATATGGAACTATAGATTACTATATCTACGTAACAGTAGAGAAAAGATCTAACCGTTTAATGCGTGATGAATAGTATTCAATTGGTTCACAATTTAAAACTATTCAAATTTTTTTAGAACCATTGGCATCCCATTCCTCTGCTTCCATCATTGTAACTGTTCCTTCTATATAATGGTAATATTTTTTGTTTAAGGGTGAAGGGACCATAGAATATGTTGTGGAAGCTTCTGATCCACAAGATCTCAAGGCCTGGTTGACAGAGATCAAAGGTTGTATTCAGCAAAATCGATGTGCCGCGACAGCGGAAGGAATCGCTGCCATGTGAGTCATATAGTATTAATATGTGGTCATTTAGCTGAGACCTAATAAGTGAGGCTATAAAAAATTTTTTTATATAAGGTATCTAACTGAAGCCATTACAAAAATAAATTTGTATATTATAAATTTCAATATTTCCATGTCTTTAATTGTCCCTAGGAGACCAAGGCTACCCACAGCTCCTTCAGGCTCTATAGAACGAAAAGGTAAATATTGTCTACAGTTTCAGTGGTACAAGGAACAGACTCTTGAAGCTACAGAAATAAGATAAGAAATAATAACTTGTATATCAGAGCCAAAGTCTCAACCTATTGTTTTTATAAACCTTCTTGCAAAATGGTCAAAAATGTTGAAAACCCTTCCAGAAATCTATTATTATGTAATATTTATTTTCTTAAATATTTAACGGCCAATATCTCTGGTTAGTGGAATGCTTCAGTGCTGAAATGAGATACCCACACTATTCTCAAGGAGCCTACCAATATTGTAATATTTGGTGGGTCCTCAATTTACCAAATTTCTCTGGTTAAATATTGAGAAACAGAAGTGAAAGCGTGATGGTGGCATCAGAAGAGTGGCATAGTAAACTTCCACTTCATAGAGTCATTCCATTTTTTTACATCTCTGAATTCTCAGGGCAATTTTGAACATTGGCAAATGTAACTTAGCATTAAAAAAACTGCTATTTAAAAGCTTTAATAAAAAAGCGAAAAGAATTCTTGTTACATTCGTTTTTTATCAACCCTATTGTTCATGTATTTTCTATATCTAATATTTCAGACACATCCCAGCTGACGTCTCAGCACCGGAGCTCTTCCCAGGGCAGTCTTGGCAGTGCGACGCCCACTGTTCCGCCTCGTCCATCGCCTCGGCCCTGGAGCATGATCCACGTGGACAACAGCAACACAACTCTGAGTGGTCAGATCATTGGGTCAGATCTGAGGGGCTCCCCTAGGGCTGAAAGTGGATTTGGTCAGTTTTTGTAATTTGCATTAGTAAGGAGTTATCATGAGTTCTTCTCAGCAGTATCCTTATGTAAAGTGTTATTTAGCATGTACATTCATTATTTGATGCTCACAGTTGATTAGATATTAACTTTATTTAAATGTCATATCTTAGTACCAGTGTTGCTACAATTACCAAAACTGAAAGGATATTGAGATATTTTAAAGTGTTGTACTGAATTTTTGTGAGTCTCTTACAAAATTTGCGAGGAATTCGCTAATCATTTCACTAATACATTATGGTAGGGGTTCTTAACCTTTTTACAGAGCCTGACCCCGTCTGTCTTGATTTTAAAACATTTCCCGAACCCCATCTCAATTTCAAAACATAATTCACGAACCCCATAAGGTAAAAATGCTAATAAAAATCCAAATAAACCTGATATTCTGGATCTTCCCTCACCTATTGACACTGCGTCCCTGGTTAAACACCCCTGCATTACATTATTGTATTAACACAGGTGTATTTTCTTGCTCATGTACAGAAGCTGTCCACACAGAGGGCCCTGACGGAGAAGGAGGGGTAGAGAGAGTCTTGAGAGAGTATCCTTGGTTCCATGGAACACTGTCTCGCGCTGATGCGGCACAACTCGTTTTACAGCAGGGACCATCAGGGCATGGTGTGTTCTTGGTGCGTAAAAGTGAGACCCGTGCCGGGGAGTATGTGCTTACCTTCAACTTTCAAGGGAGAGCGAAGGTAAGTTCGAGTGTAAGTGTAGACATATTTGGATTTCTAGCTATAAAGATACATTTGGATATATTTTTTTTGGGTGGGTGGAGTTGTAACTATAGTTTGATAAAAATAATTTGAATGCTTGTTAAGTTTTCACTCACATGTAGAATTGGGGCTCCTATTTATTGAATTCAGATTGAAAATGTTTTTAGTCTCATTTTGGAGAAAATCATTGCTATCTATTATTATTAACTCATTCCCTACTGCAGTGCTACTTCTGTACTTAATTTATTCCTGAGAAAAGGGAAGCAACTCAGTTTTGAAATTGATTTACATTTTAAAAATATTTTTTAAAGCTGCTAAATATTAATAAATGTTAATGAATTAATGACGAATGCATCAAAAAATGAATAAGGTTTAATTAAAATAAAACATTAGTGGTGAAAAAATAATGGACAATGGCCAAAAAATCTGGCACTTCGGACAAACACATGCTAGATATAGACGTGCCGTACTAAAGCACACATAGTTTAAAAGTGAAACAAGATAAAAACTTCCTGTTTTAAATTAAAATCACGCAGAATCACGCCATAGCCGGAGGAAGTCTCGAGGGACGCGATATTTCATAGCTATTTTAAACCAAAAATAAGAGAGGTGTGTCGCTATGCACCAGGGCGCATTTGGACGCATCCGTTGGAACCCCCAAGCAACGCATTTAGTCGCAACCGTCGGGAATGAGTTAATGTCAAGCAAAATTTTATTTACACCTGGATCTTTTTACTGCATAAAGTTTTCTTTTCATTTTTAGCATTTACGAATGACAATCAACAATGAGGCAAGATGTCGGGTTCAACATTTGTGGTTTGAGACCATCTTTGACATGCTTGAACATTTCCGCACTCACCCCATACCCCTGGAATCTGGGGGGTCATCGGATGTCACTCTAAATGACTTTATCGTTGCTGTCGAGCGACCGAGGACACCCAACTCATCGGGTCTGCATGGATCCCCACGTACAAGAGCTGCTGCTGCAGCGCACCACACCACAGGCCGGGGTTCCCTTGGCATGTCCCACCATGATGGAGGTCGGGATGTGGTCATTATAGGTGGGTCAGTTAGGGCACGAACATCTTCCATCGAGAATTTTGTTCGGGAACAGTCACAGGCCCAGAACCAACACAATCGGGCTATTGATAATCATTATTCTTTTGTGTGATTAGCCATCTGTCACTATTTGAGTAACCATCTGCCACTTGAAGTGCGAATGGCTTGCAGTCCCATTTGGAAGACTGCATACATCTCAAAGACCAGTTACTGTAAATTGTAAAAAAAAAAAAAACTTGCCAGAGACATTTATTTCACCAATACTCAATTGTACCTGTCTAGTCTGTAAGTTAGCACGTTTGTACAGTAGTGCAGGTCAGATATAGATATAGAAGATTAACTGTCAAATGCTTAACTCAGAATATCAAAATTTCACAGATTTTTATCTAAGCAATAATTAACAAATTATTTGCTATAAAAATTGTCAAAAAATCCAATTGTAAAAATTTAATTCAAAAATTTTTTTCAAAGAGTTTTGATTTGAAATTTCATCTATAATATAATTCAATATATCTTCCTGTCATCCAGCTGTTCTGTTGGAATGATCGATTAGTATCCAAATTTACAGGCCACATTCTGAAATGTTTAATTTTTTTATTTTTAAATGTATCAGTTCTCAATCTGTATCATCTGACAATGTAAGGGGGCAATACTTATGTTTATAGTAGTTTATTTGATGAGCTTTTATTATGAATGGCCACGTCTCATGCTGTCAAATTTCAATCCTGAGCTTATTTACAAGCCAGCAAGTTCAACGGTCTCACTGAAATATTTATTGTTCACTTGGTCATGCTTCGGCTTTATTTTAATGAGCAGTGTGTGTAATTAATATGTGACCATGGTGTGCAATATTGATTTGTTTTCACTTGCTATTTATATACACATGATGGACCCATTCATATAAACATGCTGACATTCACTTACATAAAGTATGACAAAAAAAGGTTTGATCAGCTAAAAACAACCATAAATAACAACAAAAAACCCAACTTTCATTGTTTTAAATTTGTTAAAATTTTATTAAAAGATTATTAGAGCAATGTTATCAGTACTAGCTTAACTTATTATTTCCATTTATTTATTATACCCCCTTTGCACTCATCAACTCAAAAAAGGCAAAACATTTGTGTCATAACTTTAACTCAATACCAATATACTTAACCTTATTAAAATGCTGGTTCAAAAATATATTATCTTTTCCTTTACACCTACTCTTGCACATTTATTTGTGTACAATACTTGATCATCTTGTCTTTAAAAATGATCCCCAACTTTGCTTTTTCATTGACTTGTTCCACCTTAAAAACCTGCCCATTGTCATAAAACAATTAAGGTGTTGCCAGGAAAGCCTTCTTTTATTCTCTTTTGTTATTGTTTCAGATTGATCTTCTCCTGGTATTGTTTGCAGAGGTTAAATTTTATTCTTTGTTATAAGTGATTTATTACACAAGCTATAACCTTTTCTACTTTCATTTGCTAAATTTAGAAATTTTTCTCATTGTCCTAAAAAGACAGGATAGACAGATTTTAAAAAAAAATGTTAAATATGATTAAAATGTTCAAGCACATATTTTTAGACTGCTTGTACTACAACTAATCAGAGTGATTGCTTGTCTATCAATGCATCCAGCCAGTGAGCCAGGACAAATTTGGAAATTCTATAGCAATAGTAATAATATATGTTTTAGAGTTGGAGCAATAAGTTCCTATCAGCTCTTGTGCTTAATGAAATATCAGCACCTGGACATTGATAGACATTCAGATCAGATGTGGCTAAATAATGCTTACAAACTGCTAACTGAGATATCTTTTACTTATTTTACTACAATACTGTAACAATACATTTAATATAAAAAATAATACAATTACAATCATACAATGACTACATTTTATATGATTTATTAAACTAAGAAAGATTTCTTTCACTTATTCAACTAAGATTAAGAATTCTAAATTCTTGACTTATTCAACTTAGATTTCTTCATCTTCAAATTATTTAACTTAGATTTCTTCAACTTAAAAGGATTATTTATCTTTTTTCTTTCTAAAAAAAAATATGCTTTTGTAAAATTTAAATTAAAAAAAAAAACTTATACATTTGTTACATTAATCCAATGAACTTTTAGTATCAGAGACAGCCACATTTCTAAAGAACTTTAGTATTAGAAACAGACACATGGAACTTTTGCATCAGAGACAGACACCTTTCTAATGAACATTTATTATCAGTGAGAGACAAATTGCTAATGAATTATTATTCATTATTTCATTATTTTTTTTCCTTAACAACACCCCCCCTTTTCCCATTTTTTTTCCTTCTCTTTTTAAGAAAATATAGAAATAAAAAACATATTAAAATTGAAAGGGAGAGGAAGAAGAAATTGATTCAATAAGTCCAGTTATATCCTGTTCCTTAAGGGCTGAAACGGGGCTGATTTGTTTCTCTCATACTTTACAACACCACTTCTGTCAACTAACAAACATTTCTCTCATACTTGACAATACCACTTCTGTTAACTCTGAGACATTTCTATCTTTGATTGCTAGTGTTAACACAAGCTTGCCTTCTATTTTCCTAAAACACTTTGCTGTTAGATGATTTTTTAAAAAAAATAAGCACATTAAAATATGTAGGTAGTGGTAGTGTCATAAGACATTTGAACATTAAAATTATACTTGGCTGTAGGGTCATGTAACATAAAATTATATTTCATAATGTTATACATCGTATCCTGTAACACATTTACTTATTCCCGTTAAACAGCAATTTTCAGGAAATAACATACAAACATTTCTTTTAATATGATCTGTTTAAGATTTCCTGTGAACTTTAACCAAGAGACTTTAAGTGTGAGTGCTAATGTCATTAACTGTTAACATTATTTATTTATCCAATAAACATTATTTCCATTTGGATTATATAAATATAATATGTTACCCTTCTGAGCTGTATATAATTAAAATAAGGGGTTGTTCGCAATTTACGTCACGCAAAAAAATGACCTTTTCAGGAACCCCCCGTCACAAAGTCACTTAACTATTAATTTTATTATTTAAAATTTCCCAATAATGGATTGAGATGTATTATTAGAAAACTATGACGAAAATGCAAAACAACGATATCATCCCCAAGCCAAAGGTAAAAATGGCCACAACACTTTTTGCGTCATTTTTCGATATGTGCAGAAGGTGAGCGTGACTGAGTTTCACAGTACCAGAAATACCTGAGGTAATTTCGACCTTAAATTAATGCTTTTAAAATTAATTGAATAAAGATTTTTCAAAATTAGAAAATTTCAGATTTAATTTTTTTTTTGTGGCTTCACAAATTTTTTACCCAAAGTGTCACAAATTCTCGTGAGCGTAACATAATTTGCGAAAGCCCCCTAACAGCTACACTCTATACAATGCAGTTTAATTTATGATTTCTGTCTTTGGTAAAGGTAGACAGTAAATGAAAATGTTACTAGACAGTAAATGGAAACTTTGCTAGGCAGTAAATGAAAATGTTGCTAAATAGTAAGTGGAAACTTTGCTAGGCAGTAAATGGAAATGTTGCTAGAGAGTAAATGGAAATGTTGCTAGAGAGTAAATGGAAGTGGTGCTCATCAAATTTTGATAGCTTTACTTACATTTACAAATGAAATAAAATAATTGGCCATTTTGTTAATTATCCCTTGATATAAGGTATTAAGTCATGTTGTCAGGACAAAGGTAACCATGTTTACCTCATCATTTTTAAAAAGTAAACATTTGTACAAGCCTGGGGCTTCGCTTTTTTTAGCTGGGTGATTTTGCTGGGGAATATTTTCTGTTTCATTTTTTCATTTCTGTTGACATCAGCCTGTAAGATAATCAATGTCAATTATCAGATTATTTCAGATTAGATAGGTTGTCTTACCATGGTGGCTTTCATGTCATATGTTTTAATCAACTAAGTCATTTTTCTTTTGCCAGTTCATAAAACCACTAACCAACAGCATGACATCTAGTATATGTTGTACACCACCTGGTTGCTAGTTGTTTCATTCAATTACAAACCACTACATATGTTTTACTTACATGTTAAATAACTGGGCACACTCTCTTATTAGTTTTTGAGTAATGAATACTATAAATTTACTAATACAATGTTAAACTTATTTTTGTTCTCAGCAGTATTTAAAAATTAATAATTTGTTGGAAACACAGGTATCAATTTAAATAAGGTGGAAAATTAATTCATCATATTAGAACAATTACTTTATGTCAATATTGTCATTACAGGTCATTATGAGCGTGTTTCACCTGTAATTGAGGGCTTGCAACCCACGTCATGGGGGACCTCACTATTGCATGATGGTCTGTGACCCACACTAAAGTCATTGAGGGGGTCATTACCCAACACATGGAGGACCTAACTATTGCATGATGGTCTGTGACCCACACCTTAGTCATTGAGGGGGATCTTGATCCATACTCCCGGGGAAATTGATCATTTAACTAAAGTTAGCTTATTATTGAAGCATTTTAAAAGATACCTGAAATTATAGTGGACAAATCAATCTAACAACCCAAATAAATCATCACTTAAAATAGAATGGCAGGTCAAATGCTTACATGTATAGTGAATGGTATATAGTTTGGAAAAATTATCCAAACTCAGTCTACTGAAAGATAATGTAAGATAACTAGTCTAGAAAAATTATCCAACCTGTCTGTCTACTGAAAGATATAGTTGGCAAGGAATTATTAAATCTGAACTACCATTGATAATGTTGATCATTGATATGGGCTCTAAAAAGCCAGGGTATTTGAAATGTTTCAATCACCCCACTAGACAAACATAGAGAATATCGCTACAAAAAGTAACAGGTTATGGTCAATTTCATGCATTTAATTTTTTTATGTGATTTAACAAGATGTATAATAATTTGTATGCTTTGTAACCTCAGTTAAAGTTATACTACGATATTACAATTAAATGTGTATTATAGCAAGAATCATGGACTGGGGCAGGTGTCTATGCTCTATGTTATTGTAAGCATGAACTGAAGTTGAGTTTTCTGACGACTCTTAATATGAAGTCACCATAAATTCCTTGTTTATCTGTTGCTAGAAATCATGTTGTCTCAGTATTGTGAGATTGCATGTATTTTTAAAGCCTAGCATATTTATACACTTACTTGAAAGGCATTTTAAAATGACATTTATATGTATACCTAATTACTGATATTGTCTTAACACATAAAATGTATATAAAACAGTGGGTTCAAGTGTCTGTCTCAGGCCAAGCTAATGATTATTACTGAAATCCATATGTATTGTTAGTATGGTGGGCTTTTTTTTATATTGCAGTTTCCTTTATAAAGTCAGTTTTTATATGCAAGAGCAAACAAAAACAATACAATTAACAAGAAATGCCAAGAGTTAAGTGTCCTGAATAAGTAAGTTGAAATACAGAGGTGAGGATAGGAGCTAGGATTTGCAAATTAAATTTGATGCTTGATGAGGTTTATCTACTAATATATTTGGATTGCAGGAGACAGATGATATGTTCAGATGTTGGGGGTCAGATGTTAAGCTCAGAATAAGAGTTAGTTCAGATGTTAGTGGTCAAACATTGAACTCAAAGTTAGTTCAGATGTTGAGCTCGGAGTAAGAGTTAGTTCAGACGGTTTAAAATCTTTACCTCAATTGTAACATATAAAGTGTTCTACTTACCTCATTGAAACAAAGATAAAAGTTGTATTTTATATTAAAAAACTGTTATTATTATTATTTAACAAAATTACTGGTAGTCTGTGTGAAAATTATTTCTCTGCAGTTTCAAACTTCAAGATTGCAATTTAAGCTGATGGCAGGAAAACACAGATTATACATATAAACATAAATCTCCTGCTTGTGTTAATGAAAATAAATCAACTGATTCTTTTATGAAAAACTTTTAAGAACAAATGATTATTCAACTACTTATTATATTAGCCTTGAGTTTTTTAAAAGTAAAACGTGAAAAGTTTGTTTGTTTTCACTTTAATTAAAATCTGATTTTTGTTGTGCATGTGGAGGACGATGAATCTAATGTAGGAAGCTCCCGTTTTAATTCTTGAAACACATAATTAAAGTAACTACAAATTACTCCCCCTTTAAGTTGGTGTTAATCAGAATGATAAATATGTTGAGTACTTTCTTATTTCCCCACCATTCCTATACATATATAAATAAGTCACATTATGTGTTTGTATATGTTGTTATTTAACTCATCCAAGTATTTCACATGACTCTTTCTTGTCACGTGATCTTATGTCCAGTACTCCCAGCCTCACCTACTTCACACTTGAATATTTTACAAAATGTCATGAGATTCCATCGGAGTGCAAATTCCACCAGAGTGTAGTTAAACACCACAGTTCTGTACTCTAGAGTGCATTATTCCATCTGAGTGCTATACTCCAGAG